TTGAACTCACCTTCACTTTGTCTAATTCCCACCATCCTCTCCATCTGTTCACTTCCTCCCAGATGAGCTGCTGTCCTCCCAGGAGAAGTCGGGGATGAAAGATGTGATCGTGTCCATCGACACCAGCAAAGACTCTGACGCTGACTCATCCAAACCCTCCTCCAAAGCCACCAGCCTGCAGAACAGCCCCGCCCCGCAGAAAGGTAGCTTTAACCTTCACACTTATCTACCATGCGGGGAAATACTCTTACTTGTAACAGAGTATTCCTACACTCTGGTACTTCTACTTTTACTCGAGTACAAGATAAGAGTACTTCTTCCACCTCTCCTGTCAACATGTATTGTTTAGGGCCTGTCACATGCTTTACAAGCAGCTGATCAAATTTGGAAAGTTAAAAATAGTGAAATTATGAATATTGATGCTGATGGGAGAAATATAACTACTGTAGGGAGGACGGCTTTCCCCCCAGGAAAGCAGTTTAACACAATTCTGTGAGATCCCTCTTAATCCATCAATGGCTGCCTTTGTTGTCCCTCTACACAAACAAACACACACACACACACACACACATACACACACACACACACACACACACACAGGAAGTGGCCTCAGTGACCCATGACTCCAGTGGTCCCACAGGATGTATTAGTGCCACCCACACAACTTTGAGCAAGCAAACAAACAAAGTGTTCCCAGAACCTCCCACCGTCCAGTCTGGAGTCATGACGTTTCTTAAGAGTATTTCATGATAATATCTTATTGTTGTTACATTTGATCAAGCTTTATGGACACGGATCAGGCTTATTGTATTGTCTTGTTGTGGGATGAGCTCCGTGGACGCAGGACAAAATGATGTTATTACATTTATGGTTGAAGTACAGGTACAGTATTCAATCTGTTCAACAAATTCCCCTGACTAAATGTCACCCAAATCTACTTATCACATTTAAACTTGAGTTCTATTCCCCAGAATATCTCTTGAGACAGTTTTCTGTTTAGCTCCTGCTTCAATTACCATTTACATAAACTCAAAAGTCCTCCCATGTTTGTCTGTTGTCTTGACACATTTGCAAACTTCCATAATACAACAGCCTTTAGATCACAGAGTCCCTGTGGAGCTGAAGAAGCTGCATTCTGCTCAGTAAGGAGTTGTACTACAGGAATATGAATGCATGTATGTGCCTGTAGTTGTAATCACTAATGTGTAACCAAACTGAGGGGCCACACACACTGTTGCTCTGGTGTAGTCAAGGTGAATGCTTTGATTTGGGTAATCCTCTTAGTCCCAGCCTGAGCCGTCATTAACACACTGCGTGCACATTTCATTCCACTCTGAATCACACTCACGCTCTGTGAGAATTTCATCTGAAACCAGGCGTAGAGCCAGAATATTGGAACAGTAGATTTAGTCCCCTCGCATGTCTGGGGGTGCAGGAATCAGTCCTTCAAATCTGAAATGAGTCAGCATTCTACCACTTCAAGTTAACTCGTCTCGAAGTTTTTGATCGTGTTTTTGGTTGAAATAAGGTCTGTGGTTAACACAAGTTGAAGAGATATCTACGTCGTTGTGTTCTACAACATAAAATACGTTAATAAATTCCCCACTTCTGAATATCAGAAGCTTCTACATGTCTGAATGAGACGACTAAACGTCATCGCGCGCATGTGAAGTCATGTGACCGTGCTGTAGTTCCTTTATAGCCCAACATTAGCCACCTTTAGCTTAGCGTAGTTGATGTGAAGTCATGTGACCATCATGCAGTTCCTTATTATCTTGTTACGAATTATTTTACATTCAAATATCATAAAGTGGTGTTAATATGTGGAGGTTAACCTGCCAAACTAAACGTGTAAATATCATGAATATGTGTTTGCCACAGATATTATTCTCTGCAATACTCTCAAATCCTATGGGAAAATTCAATTGCTTTTTTTCAAGGGTGCGCTTGTTATGCTAACTTTGGGTCCGCCTATAATAAAAAAAGTCCTCACTGCACCACTCTGTTAGCGTGAGTCTGCAAATGGCCTGAGAGGTTTCAGAGATCTTGAGTCAGCATAAAGCTCACAGATAGCGGTGTGTGTCATTATACATTATTTAATAACTGTGTTGCAACTTCCTCGTGGGGGTTGTAAGTTGACGGCACATCACATCAACATTTCACCTTAATTCAGAGTTTGTTCCCTCTTCTTTTGTCCCACAGATGAAGAGGACGATGGCAAAGCTCCAACTCGGCCCCTGTTGAAAAAAGGCAGGATTTCCACTTTACTGTGTTGCCCTAATCCTTGTCTTTCTGCTCTCTCTTCCTATCGCCTCGCTCTGTTTAGACTGTATTAACATGCCGTCCTCTCCCTGCTGTCTCTGTCTCGTCTCTCCACGTCATTCTTCTCGGCTTTGGGGAATAACGTTTTGCCTTCTCTCCTCTTCCTCCTGCTCTCTTAACAGTCTCCGGCTTGTAGCACTGAAGCTGTGTGTGATAGTGCCTTCCAAGTCTCGAGTATTAAATGTTGTGTGTGTTTGCCAACATTTCACTTTTCCTCCTCTGGTCTTCAGTGTGTCTCGCCTGCTGCTGCTGCTGCTTCTTCTCTCTGAGGTGACGGCTGTGTCACAGGAAGCTCTCCTGTGTCTTATTCCTGGTGTTTCCCCTGTGTTCATTAAGATCAACCATCAGATATCTAGACTTTTAAACTCACACAAATGTACAAATTCAAAATGACCATCAACTTCATGGCAGCTAGGGTCTGTTCATCTCATAACATCATGTTTACAAACAGGCAAAGAAACAATAAATAAACATTAAATGTGAGGTTTGGCTGCATTTCCTTATATAATACAACAGCTTTGGCTTGGAAGAAACAAGCAATATGAGGGTGTTGTCTTGAGTTGAAAGTTAAAAGCAGTCCATGACCGGATACATTATAATACATTATTCATTCCATCACTCAAATGAACTTGGAGACACTGCAGCTATTAGTTTTTTATCGCATAGTGCCAGGCTGGAAGATGGGGAAATGAATCTACAAACCCACACTATAACATGCTTCTGAAAACATTTGTGCACATCGCTTTCCCCTTCTTACTTTGATGCTTTGTTAAATGTAACATGTCAATCATTTGTTTAAATACTAACTGCAGTGTGGTGCATCTAACTTTAGGAAGTGACTGGGAAATCTATATTAGATCTGTACAGGGGAAACACTGATCGAGCTTTAGCGCTGAGTTGCCTTTTTTTATTATTAGATATTTCGCTATTATGTTTAAGTGCTTACATTGACACCTTATCTTTTCAAACACAAAGCAGCACAATGCTACTGATCAGCTAACATCCTGTCCTTTCATGACTGATCCTAACATGGGATACTTTCTTACTGTCCAACCTGACTTCCTGACTTGTTTTATTTTGCCATCTAAAGTCATTTCTGCTGTGTTGTTTGTGTGCAGACAAGAGGAGCCCCACCATGCCGCTGAACGTGTCCGACCAGAGGCTCCTAGCGGCCAGTCAGCAGTTCCAGCAGAAGCAGGGGAAAGGCACCGTGGACGTGTGGTGGCTGTTTGACGATGGAGGTGAGTCTCAGTCAGCTACCCTCTGCTCGACTGTAGTCCAAAAGCTGTGAGACGCAAGGCTCTAGTTTCCACTGCTTGAGAATAACGCCCATTTCATGTTTTTGAGTTTCCAAGGCGGGCAAACATGTATCAGCCTTTTGTTGGCAAATTTAAATGAATCTGTCAGGAGGTTAAGCATTTTTGTTCAGAGTCAAAATGAACATAGAATAGAATAGAATAGAATTGGGAGGGATGAGACCCTCTTTAATGGTCACACATGCAGAGCACACGGCACACACAGTGAAATGTGTTCTCTGCTTTGAACCCATCCTAGTACCAGGAGTCTAGTACTAGGAGCCAGCTATTGTATAGCGCCCAGGGAGCAATGGGAGTGAGGGGGGTGTCCGGTGCCTTGCTTAAGGGCACCACGGCAGGGCAGCAGGTGAACTGGGACCTCTCCAAGTAGCAGTCCACACTCCATATTTAGGTCTGGTCGGGGACTTGAACCGGCGACCCTACGGCTCACAGTCCAAGCCCCAACTGACTGAGCCACCTGTTGAACCTTATCTGAAAAGTATAAAAAAAACAAAAAATGTTAAACTTTATTTTAGTATCTTGTAAAATGTATAATTTGATTTATTTATTTCACGCTCTGTAAATGAATTTGTTTAATTCTTACCTTCAGACTTAAAATGTTCTGGTAAAAGATGTGCATTCGAGTAACCAATTAACGTCTAAAAATAAATGATTCTCTTCAATTCACATGACATTGCATGTTAACATTTTGCATATAAACATGTTACCAAAAGATATAGCCACAGAAATGCATGTACCAAGTGGTATACAGCAAATTGATTTTTAGAATTTAGATTGATGACAGGGAAATGAAAACTCCCCCCCGCTGTGAGAAAGATCCATCAGCGATGAGACGATCAGTGGAGCTGACGGGCCGTATGCTCTTTATTGGCCAGAGTGATTTTGGGTGTGTGTGAGAGCCCAGCGGGGGGTATGGAGTCATGAAGGGTGTTGAACACACTGTGAAATGTGACAGTGTGTTCCCTCACACTCTGCTGAGGGATAAACTGTTGGACAGGCCGGTGTGTGATGATGTGTGTGTGATGATGTGTGTGTGATGTCTCCAGGTCTGACCCTGCTCATCCCCTACCTGCTGACCAACAAGAAGAGGTGGAAGGACTGCAAGATCCGCGTCTTCATCGGAGGAAAGATCAACAGGATCGACCACGACCGCCGAGCGTAAGTGATTAGTCACATTTAAGGGTTAACATAAGCGCAATATGCAGGTAGTAAAGTTGTGACTCACTTTTATCAAGTACCTGCAGATCCTAACCCTTTTTATTTAGAGCAATTATTACTTTGACCCTTTTGATTGTTGAAGGAAATAGATATACTGCACTATAATATGCCTGCTTTCCCTTCAGCACCTCGCCCCCCCTCCTGCTCACACATTCATACTATATGTTGACATGTTCCCTTTAATATCCCGATTTAATGATGTGCAACTTGTCTAACATGCATTCTGAATACTGACCCTGACTGACAGAGATCACTGATGGCTCTCATGTACAGCTGAGAAAAAACATGGTTTTTAATCACAATTTGTTTTCATTCTAAAACGTTTTAATATATGGGGAACATGTAGTTCTCGGGAAGCACAGAGAGGTGTCAAGTTGATCATGAAACTGTGGCAGGACAACTTATTTAAAAAGGAAATGATGGGAAGTGAGAGGCAAACGCACACCTCTATAAACTAAAGGGGTTAGGGTCTGTAAAACAGAAAGCAGCACAATGTTTGTTTTTTAGGGCTGTGCATCTTCACTGGTCTCACGATTCGATAATGATTATCCTGTCTTCGATTCGATATCATACCAATTCGATATCATACCAATTCGATATCATACCAATTCGATTCATGCCAATACCATAATAAATCAATTGTATAGCTCTAGCATCCCTATACAGTATCTGTGTGTGAAATTGTTCCATCCTCAAAAACAAAAAACTAATGCTTCTGCAGTCTAGCTGGAGCTTCTAGCTACCGCCGTCTGTTAAAAAAAGGACACTGAAGGTCCTGAATGTGGCATCACATGACTTGAGTCTGAACACAGCAGACAACAGGAGTATTTACAACAGCATATACAAACAAAAATAGTGCATGTGGGTGCACACTTACATTCTCTGTCCTACTGTTACATAAATCCCATGAATGTATGAGAGTTAGCTTCATCATATCTCAATCAGTGATTAAGTGAATAATAACGTTTCTATCAGGTCACTATCAGCCTGTCACTCATTATTTTCAGGGAGGGGGCGGGGTTTGGAGGAACGGAGGAGACGGTGATCGCGGAAGCTTTCCTCCTGCCTTCACAAACTTTACACACATATATATCGTCTGAAAATAGCAAGAGGACATTCATACTCGATGCGTGCACAGGAAGTAAAGTAAAGGCAACTAAACGTTAACTGAATCTTTAGTCGACAACACGTTTAAAGTCTCTGTTAACCAAATTAAGTGGAATATATATATATATATATATATATATATATATATATATATATATATATATATATATATATATATATATATATGGAATATATATATATATATATATATATATGAGCTGAGACATGTTTTGCCTTGTAAGTAATGAGATCAATTTGCAATGTTCCAACCCAGAGTAGAAAGTGGTGGAAAGCACTTAAGAAAGGCTGTAAATAGACGGAGTAAACAGAGCAGCCAGCTGTGAGACTCAGCATGTGAACTTCCTGTCAGCTTTCCTCCCTCTGGATTCAATCCTCGTCACAAATGTCAGTGTGTGGCCATAATGGTTATTTCCTTGTTATTGTGGGGAGAAGTTTTCTCATATAATCTAATTACTCAATATTATGGTTTGTCTTTGCTTATATAACGTTATGTGGACTGGACAAACACTTCAACTCTATTGACTCTAATTCTATGTTTGCTAATTATCGATTAAAACGCTTTTAATGTCGTATAGCTTTCTTTGCTACTGTGACACAACAATATTTATCCCATGTTTATGTACAGAGTTTAAGTGAGGATGTGGTTAGCTTAGCTTAGCTTAGCATAAAGACTGGAAGCAGAGGGAAACGGTTAGCTTAGCTAGTTAAAATACTGAAACCCTCAAACGACTGAAGCTCACATGTGCGTGTACTGTTTGTTTAATATTTTAAGGAACAAATATGTCGGTGTATCCATTCGCCAAGTATTCCAGGAACAATGTACTCTCACTACGAGGACAATACTATCTATTAAAAAGCACAAATACTTATTGCAGATTTCAAAATGTTAGTCAGTGAGCTTTAGTTCCCCCTGCTTCCAGTCTTATGCTAAGCTAGGCTAGCCACATCCTGAACTCAGAACACAAGGGGGATATCCATGAACTCCTGAAAAAATAAATAAGCCTATTTAAAAAAACATTTTCACAATATAGTATTGACCGTAGCATCTATACAAACATAAACCTTCTTGGCAGAGGATCTCTCATTGTCCCTCACAGCTGCCTCCTTCCTCTTCTGTTGGATTCAATTGGTGCTACTGGCCGAGCCTTTTATCTCTGTGTGAGTGCACTTTGTGTGTGTGTGTGTGTGTGTGTGTGAACTACACTTCTAACCACACATCAAACCCATATCTGACAATCTACAATGGGCGAGTAGAGTGCAGTGTATATCTCCTTAAAATATTAAGTATCCTGCATTCTTTTAATTCATTCGGTTCACCTACATTTCAATAACATGTTTTTTTACCTCACTTACAATAGTTTTTATACAGAATCTTATAAAAAAATCTTTTTATAGGCTAAAAAAATCACATGTTTGTCGCCAGTACAGAGTGAGTGTTTCCATGAATTCTCTGTTAGTTCTGTTTTGGTCTCGATCAACTCCTCAGAGGAATATTACCCTTTAGCTCTGAGACTGAAGCAGACTGTTAAAGCAGTAGAGAGGCGAAGTCCCGCCCATCTACTTCCGACCCATGGGACCTTATTTCGGAAAAAGTTATGTATTGAAGTCAATGGGGAGAGAAAGATTATCTCTCGATCCCGTTTGAATTGTGCCATGAATTACACATATGATGTTTGTCAATCTTAAATAATAATTTCCATGTCAAAAAAGTCACAGTTTGTCGTAAAACTGTTGAAATATAAGACTATGAAAAATACGCAACTAGAAAGACTACAAATCCCAGAGTTGCGTAAGTGATGTCATTAACGTTACACATTACACTCGTGTTACTCACCGAAACCTTGTAAAGCCGGTCCCGCATGCTGGCTCTTAGGAACCGACTAACTCCCCTTGTGTGTATGTACAGCTCTCAACATGCCCAGACTTGGAGTGATTTTCACCTCTTTTAATACTTTCCGCCTCATTCTGAAAGAAAGAAGTGAAATGTGCCAACGTGACGGCCGTCTGGGTGTGTGGTGCGAGACGGGAGATGTAGTTCATTGAGCGGTTTCACACCAACAAAAGTGTTACTTCACAGTTTTACGACACATTTTTATTTTTTTGACTTACAAAATTATCTTTTAAATTGACAAACATCATATGTGTAATTCGTGGAACAATTCAAACGGGATCGAGAGATAATCTTTCTCTCTCCATTGACTTCAATACATACTTTTTCAGAAATAAGGTCCCATGGAGCTCCCCCGGAAAGGGAGGGGCTTCGCCTCTCTATGCAATGAGCTTCAACAGCTTCAGAAAGAAGTATCATATTCATCATATGTTTGTTTATATGAGTAGCTTTAATGTTTTTTCTCTAAATGGAGCAGAGTGTCTGGAAAACGATCTGCATCTTTATCGTACGTGTCAACATGTTGTATTTGGGTTTTGTTACATCGCATAACAACAAACAGTTTGATCTCCCTTCAAGCCTTGAGCTTGCAGACGTTGCAGCAAAAGGAAATGCCTCTCGTACCCAGAATGCCAGTGTGCTCTCTCTAAAGCTGTCCCACCTGCCTCCCCCCCCCCTATTGGCCGCCTGCAGGGTGACTCAGATCTGCAGGATCTCTCCTAAAGCTCTGTTTTTTGTTCTCTGCAGGATGGCCACTCTGCTGAGCAAGTTCAGGATAGACTTCTCCGATATCACCGTGCTGGGAGACATCAACACCAAGCCCAAGAAGGAGCAGTAAGTCTTCACCTCAGGCCTTTGAGCTTTGCTACGTTCTCATACCATCGTTCCTCTGTTCACACGTTAGTCACCATGCAGGCTGACATGTAGTGGTTAATGTGACTTCTCAAATACAACTCTGTTAACGCCTTAAAACAAAACACTGAGGGGGTAAAGTGACCCGGCTATAATGGTTTACACAGTCAATTGAGTATAATAATCATATCCACAGCGCTAATGCAATCAGTGCAATTACATAATGTTGCTACTCTGCTAAAAACACTTATTCTGCTTTCTCTTACTAAGATATTCCAGATGCTTCTACTTTGTCTTTTCCATTTCTTTTACTTGAAGCAAATGAGATCAGGTATTTGAGGACATTAGGAATGAAGACATGTCTCTAATAAAGACACGAGCACCACAACATGTCCTGCTTGTCTTTGGACAGATCAATATAAATCCCCTAGATAATATAATAATAACAGTAATCTTTATTTGTATAGCACCTTTCATACAATAAGCGCAGTTCAAAGTGCTTCACATTTGGCCAATTTCACACAGAATACAGTTACCAGTAAAAGACATACATTTTTTTTTAAAAAGCAAAGAGTACACGTGTAAAAAAAGCAGAGTAGACATGTGAAAAAATCCCCTAAAGGCCTCTCATCCTGCTCCTTCATCACGATGTAGAGTTTAGTGTTTGCATATCTGTCGCGTTTAGAAGGTGGAAACATGGGAGAGTTGAAGTATGACCACAGGAGATGGTACTGTAACCAATAGGGATCATTTCTAACACTAAAAAGGACCAAGATAGATTTGTATTTAATGGACATATTTGTCTCAAGCCGCTCACTTGATGATGGATGGAGGAGTGTTTGCCCCCCCATGTGTCTGTGTGGAGACATAACATCCGCAGGAGAGTCAGAGGCTTATATAAGACTTCAGTCTGCTTCGAACAGACAAGAACAATATTTTATAAATGAGTTGGTGACATTAAAAAGATTTCTATCCTAATATAGTCATCTGGATCCAGAACAGTGTTGCTTTGGTCAGCTGATCATATATATCCGTTATTTAACCAGGTCAAAGAGCGACCTGGTCAAGAAGGGCAGCGTGAACAAAGTCACAACAGATAAAACACAGACAATACATGTAGACGAATACATCATCACAAATTGGTTTCACTTCTGGATATTTGTCCATAGATTTCAGTTCGGTTCTTCATTTTGCTCCATTAGGGATACATGAGAGTAACACCTACGCTGTCACTCTCATGAGCGAGGCGTAAAATAATAGTTGTATCATGCCAACAAGCTGCTGGGTCGTTTATTGCACCTCAAACATGAAAACAAATCCAGAGTTCAGTGTTTCTGTACTTCCTCTAAGAAGAAAGGACCGTAACAGAAGAGCTCTGTGGCTTCAGGCTCGATCGCCATTCAAATGACAGCGTTGTTTCCCCCAAAAGTGGGCGGGGCCGTAAAGTGACGTAGATGTTACTCTCATCTATGGACATCGATCGCCTACTGCTATATTTAACCATATATCGAGCCCGCTCGTCGATTTCCAATGGCTTAATGTAATAGTTTGCCTGTCTGGCCATCGTGATCGGGCTCTTGGAAGATCCAAAAATCCACGGTTTTCTTACATTTCTGATCGGATTGGCAAAAACTTCAGAATTTGTATTGACCGCCGTTCAAATGACAGCTTTGTTTCCCCCAAAAGTGGGCGGAGCTGTACTTTTTGCCCGGAAGTGACGCATGTGTTACTCTCATGTATAGTTTGACTTGCAGCAGAGCACAATAAAAAAACTGAAAACAGGCTAACGATACAGTCTTCATAAATGTTTGTTTTGTAAGGTTGAATAAAAGTGCTACAGACAATGCTACGTTTTAGCATAAAGTGCATAGGTTCAAAGTAACATTGACTTTTTGTGCAGATAGCATGTTTATTGCACTAGTTAAATGTATTTACGCCTCTCTGGGCTCTGATGGAGTATCTTAATGTTCTTTGACGATGCCCGACTCGTCCAGTATAAGGAAGTTAACCGTGAAGCTTCTGTTTCAGTGTTACGGCGTTTGAGGAGTTAGTCGAGCCGTATCGGCTGAAGGAGGACGACATGGAGCAGGAGGCGGCGGAGAGGCTGAAGGACAGCGAGCCCTGGAGGATCACAGACAACGAGCTGGAGCTGTACCGCGCCAAGGTCAGATCACCCATAATAATAATACACCTTATTTATATAGCACCTTTCATGCTTGACGCAGCCCAACGTGCTTCACAGAGTATGACAAACATAATGACAATAACAAATGAGGGACATCATTAAAACATGAACAGTGATACTACTAAAAATGCCAAATGATAAAGATAGGTCTTTGATACATCCCTCTGTGTCTTTAATGCTGAAACACTTGATGTTAAACAGGAAGCAGCAGCAGATGGTTAATCCTGTTTGTTTCTCTCTGCAGACCAACCGTCAGATCAGACTCAACGAGCTGCTGCAGGAGCACTCGAGCACAGCCAACCTCATCGTCATGTAAGTCTCTCTCTCTCTCTGTGTGTGTGTGTGTGTGTGTGTGTGTGTGTGTGTGTGTGTGTGTGTGTGTGTGTGTGTGTGTGTGTGTGTGTGTGTGTGTGTGTGTGTGTGTGTGTGTGTGTGTGTGTGTGTGTGTGTGTGTGTGTGTGTGTGTGTGTGTGTGTGTGTGTGTGTGTGTGTGTGTGTGTGTGGTGTGTGTGTGTGTGTGTGTGTGTGTGTGTGTGGTGTGTGTGTGTGTGTGTGTGTGTGTGTGTGTGTGTGTGTGTGTGTGTGTGTGTGTGTGTGTGTGTGTGTGTGTGTGTGTGTGTGTGTGTGTGTGTGTGTGTGTGTGTGGAATACAGATAACAAATAAAATAAGAAACAACAAAAGACAATACAAATACATAAAACATTCAAATGAACTATCAGAGAAATGAATGCCATGAAATGCCAGCTCTAACTGAAGGCTTTGTAAAAAATGTAGGTCTTGAACGCACTCTTAACGGTTTGGACACGCTCTGATTAAAACGGGAAGAGTGTGTTTGTTTTCCTTCATGTTGAGAGTTTCACTTCTGTAGCAGCTGAGGCCTTCCAAGTCCTTCAGTAGCAAAGACTGTAGTCTGGAGATGTGTAGGGACATTTAGGAAAGAAAAAAAACAGCAATGTGGACTTAAACACATATTTTTTAAATGTCAGAATTGTTATTTAGCGTACAGTAGTGCAGACATGCCTCTGGGAGCAGGTTGGAGTTAGGTATGTTGCCACTTTTGGATTGAACAGCCGACTCTGATTCCTATTTTATCTCCAAAGCCACTGCTACAAATCTTGTCTAACCCAACCACTTCTGACATTTTCTGTGTGATCAAACACAGGCAGCAACTTGCTATTATCCGTGAAACTGTCCAACAGCCCTTTGAGCCGGTTGGACGACACATTTGACAAACTTTAAAAGATGTCAGACCAATGTTAGCTCTGCGTGATATAGCTGAAACTCCCTTGTCTATTTCATGACACCACTGTGTTCGCACGAAGAGATTCAACAGAAAAAAATGCAGTCGCCTGCAGCTCTCATTCCTGAGAGATTACTGTGTATCCTGTGTGGGGTTTCTGCTGTTTACCTGGACTTCTCTGGGATGCCGATTGAAATGATTGTGATCTAATAACATTCCAGAGAAGTTATTTCCTGAGCCATCGTTTGATATAAAGTCCCGTGCAGTGCTTTGATGTTTGAGAAGTCTGAACCCCTCAAGTCTCACTGTTTACTGAACAGATGGAGCTTCTCTGAGTGTTCGGTGACACAACGTTAAGTAAATCTTAAATGAGACTACTTACGTCATCACACCAAACATTAGCCACCTTTAGCTTAGCGCTGATGATGTGTAGTCATGCATTCTTTTGTAAAAAGGTCACCTATGATGCAAAATCCTCTTCTTCATGTCTCTTCGACATCAACATGTGTCCCCTCTTCTTCATGTCTCTTCTACATCAACATGTGTCCCCTCTTCTTCATGTCTCTTCTACATCAACATGTGTCCCCTCTTCTTCATGTCTCTTCTACATCAACATGTGTCCCCTCTTCTTCATGTCTCTTCGACATCAACATGTGTCTCCTCTTCTTCATGTCTCTTCTACATCAACATGTGTCCCCTCTTCTTCATGTCTCTTCTACATCAACATGTGTCCCCTCTTCTTCATGTCTCTTCTACATCAACATGTGTCCCCTCTTCTTCATGTCTCTTCGACATCAACATATGTCCCCTCTTCTTCATGTCTCTTCTACATCAACATGTGTCTCCTCTTCTTCATGTCTCTTCTACATCAACATGTGTCCCCTCTTCTTCATGTCTCTTCTACATCAACATGTGTCCCCTCTTCTTCTTCATGTCTCTTCGACATCAACATGTGTCCCCTCTTCTTCATGTCTCTTCTACATCAGCATGTGTCCCCTCTTCTTCATGTCTCTTCTACATCAACATGTGTCCCCTCTTCCTCATGTCTCTTCTACATCAACATGTGTCCCCTCTTCCTCATGTCTCTTCTACATCAACATGTGTCCCCTCTTCTTCATGTCTTTTCTACATCAACATGTGTCCCCTCTTCTTCATGTCTCTTCTACATCAACATGTGTCCCCTCTTCTTCATGTCTCTTCTACATCAACATGTGTCCCCTCTTCTTCATGTCTTTTCTACATCAACATGTGTCCCCTCTTCTTCATGTCTCTTCTACATCAACATGTGTCCCCTCTTCTTCATGTCTCTTCTACATCAACATGTGTCCCCTCTTCTTCATGTCTTTTCTACATCAACATGTGTCCCCTCTTCTTCATGTCTCTTTCTACATCAACATGTGTCCCCTCTTCTTCATGTCTCTTCTACATCAACATGTGTCCCCTCTTCTTCATGTCTCTTCTACATCAACATGTGTCCCCTCTTCTTCATGTCTCTTCTACATCAACATGTGTCCCCTCTTCTTCATGTCTCTTCTACATCAACACGTGTCCCCTCTTCTTCATGTCTCTTCTACATCACACGTGTCCCCCTCTTCTTCATGTCTCTTCTACATCAGCATGTGTCCCCTCTTCTTCATGTCTCTTCTACATCAACATGTGTCCCCTCTTCCTCATGTCTCTTCTACATCAACATGTGTCCCCTCTTCTTCATGTCTTTTCTACATCAACATGTGTCCCCTCTTCTTCATGTCTCTTCTACATCAACATGTGTCCCCTCTTCTTCATGTCTCTTCTACATCAACATGTGTCCCCTCTTCTTCATGTCTCTTCTACATCAACATGTGTCCCCTCTTCTTCATGTCTCTTCTACATCAACACGTGTCCCCTCGTCTTCATGTCTCTTCTACATCAACACGTGTCCCCTCTTCTTCATGTCTCTTCTACATCAACACGTGTCCCCTCTTCTTCATGTCTCTTCTACATCAACACGTGTCCCCTCTTCTTCATGTCTCTTCTTCATCAACATGTGTCCCCTCTGTGGAAAGAGACTCTGAAAGTTTCAGGAACAAAGATTCTCTCTCTTTTTGTCCTGATCCATTTCTATAAAAACCTGTCTGAAAATGAGCTGATCAGATTTTGGCCACGTTATGATGTCATAACGATGTTTTGGCTTGTGTAACCATTAGCCAATCAGCAACCAAGGTAACCCCCCCCCCCCCACCTTATCACCTGAATCTCCTCCTAGAGCACCATTGAGTTCTTTTTAACCAAATCTCTCTCAGAGGGGCGTGGGGAGGGGCTCCTTATTTTTCTTTTAAAGTAACTTTCAGCACTTTGGAAACAGGGCTGAAACAGAGGGGATTATGGGATGCTGCAATGATCTGTTTGGTGTTTCAGCCAATCAGAGACAGGTTCTGTATATATCTGAGATCTGTGATATATTGATGAGAAACACTATAATAGGGAACCTTTAATTGAACAAACGTAATCGAAAACGTAAGAAAGGAAGAATAAGCTAAGTGTCTGTTCTGAAGTTACAGTATCGATGAAGTCCACTAACGATGTTCCTCTTCGCCCCCCCCCCCCCCCCCCCCCCCCCCCCCCCCCCCCTCTCTCTCTCTGTGTTTAGGAGCATGCCATTGGCTAGGAAAGGTGCCGTTTCCTCCGCTCTGTACATGGCCTGGCTGGAGGTGCTGTCCAAAGATCTGCCTCCCATCCTGCTGGTGCGCGGAAACCACCAGAGCGTCCTCACCTTCTACTCTTAAACACACACACACACACACACACACACACACACACACACACACACACACACACACACACACACACACACACACACACACACACACACACACACACACACACACACACACACACACACACACACACACACACACACACACACACACACACACACACACACACACACACACACACACACACACACACACACACACACACACACACACACACACACACACACCACACACACACACACACACACACACACACACACACACGCGCGGAAAACAAAAATCCAAGAAAATTAAGTCTCACATCCAACTTCTGCCTCTGGGATCAGACCCACACACACATCCCAGATCCAGAGCCAACGACCTCACGGCGACGCACAGCCACTCCAGAAACACTGCGGACACACACAGCTGGTAATATGAAAAGAGATGAAGTGATATAAGCCCTTGCGACGATGATGATGATGATGGAGGAATGTCAGTGATTTTGGGTTAGGGATGGTAGTTGTAAACTTGCCCCACTCTCTCTCTTTCTTATTTATTCCAAGATGTCTCAAGTTTTTTTTTTTTTTCATTTCCTCATGTCAAAGTTGATTTCTCTCTCAGGCGCTGTTCTGTTCTCATGATGATGTCATAATTGTTGTTAATAATTGGAACCAGCTGTTTTATTAGCTTGTGACGCAGCAATAATCCCCCTGTTGTTGTTATCTTAAATATTCGGGAAGAACCATGCTTTGCAACACCTTCTAAAGCCTTATGGATGTGCCTTCCAGTTGAATCAGACGGAACAATTATAATCTCTATCCAGATTGACAATATTACTTATTATATTAGTGCATAAATAGATTGTTTTATTTAGTTTTAAATGTGTTTCCTTCCTAGTAGGAGCATTGTGATTATGCGAGTGGATTGGGTTTAATGAAGGGTGTCCACTTGATTTCAGACTTTTAACCTTAATCAATACTTTATTTCGGGGCCATGGCGTTTTTATTTTGTATTCAGTCTTCCTTTTGTTTTGAAGCTGTTGGATGCTTCAGCTACTCGACACAGTTTTGATCTCTTGTCGGTCAGAAAAGATGTGAGCCATGTTCTCCATCGCCATGTAGCTGCCGAGCGACTCAATGAAGTCGTTCCTTTTCAACAACTCTGGTGTTTCAGTGTCCCCGTGGACGGTTCTTCCCCCCTGGAAACGATTTACCCAGCAAGCTAATCTTTGCCTTAACACTAACGATTGTCATGATTCCTGTTTATAAGCCATACTGGCTGGACGGTTTGTGGGAGAATGCAGATGGAGATCCATTGGTTACGTGTTATGAGAGTGTTTCAGCACAAGTGTGTTCTTACCTGTATATGCATCTTTATTTAGTCCCCTTGCATTAGTCTGTTACTTACTGTAGGTCCACTTAGTGCCACAGTAGCACTCACGCCTGTATGTATGTATGTATGTATGTGTGTGTGTGTGTGTCTGTCTGTCTGTGTGTGTGTGTGTGATGGACATTCCTGCCTAGCCTAGCTGGGCAGAGAGGATGTGACGTCTGAATGTTTCGAGGCGTAGTGAACATATACCTCTATGCATATGAGCTTGTGTTGCAGACTTGTAATAAATGTTCATGTGAACGCATCTGCTCGCCTCCGTTTATATATTACGGTCACGTTAGGCACTGTTTAAGGGTACCATGTCTCCAAACAAAAAGCCACAGCACAACTCTGTTCTGTCACACTCACAGAATATTGACTTGGCCAGAGGGCGGGGGTTATTCTCCGATAACCACGCCGCTCTGTACGCCCACATTTTAAACTGGTTCTTGCTCTTACTGAACAAACTCTTACTCGTGAGTGGTGACGTTTTTTTTAAGAAGCTGAATGTGAAGTTGTGTAAACTCTACAGTTACTAAGTGGTTGCATGTTGACCCCCGGGCCGACCAAATTAAAGCAAAGACACATCGGAGGGAATTAAAATGTCTCAACATGAGGTCAACAAATATCCCAAAGAGATCAAATTCATGGGAAAAGGGAGATGAAATATGTCAACAGGAAGTTATTGGTACGTTTTGATATGGATTGCTAACTATAATGATTGGCTGTGCAGGAGATTAAACATGGACTATTGAAACAAACACTTCATTTGCATGTGTGTTTGAACACCTTCATCTTACGTGGTACCAATAAGCTTTATCCTGAGAAACTGCCACACAACAAATGAAAGGAAACAGGGTTCTCTCTTTATTTAAAAAGTACATTTCTCTGCGTGTCCCGTGGAAACGGGCCGTTTTAACCGTTAGCTCGTTAATTTCATGTACCTTCTGAATGCAACTTGAAACAGGAGTGTGAACATGCTTAGGTTAGTTGACTTTACTGTATAATATGAACACTACCGCTAGCTCTAGTCTCCTCTTGTTTTCATCATGTAGATGAAGTGTGTGTGTGTGTGTGTCAGCTTCAGTGTGCTGTTAGCATTCAGCTGCACCGCCACTCTGCTCCCAGCCAGGACTCTGATATATATGATATGCATGTGATGTGATTCATGCATTCAGTACAGACACACTAACTATATACACACCCATGCTCATTAAAAGCATGCTGGGAGATCAACTGTAAACCTTTGCAGTTCTCTGCTCACTCATAGCGTGCTACAGCCCCTCCTAAAGCCAAAATGTCTTCCTAGCACACTGTTAGCATTAGCATAGGTCTTCGTGTTGGAGCCATAATGCATAATTAACATGAAGAGAGCCAGAGAGAATTAGACAGAATTAACCTTTGACCCTTTTTAGTTGCAGGTGTATGTGCGGTTTGTGTTGAGGCTGTGAAAAGGACACGAAAGGTATACTTGACCTAAACTAGGGACTACACGTCAAGATATTTCTACCTCTGCTGCTTTGATTTAGTCTACTTTATGAAACTCAACACACTTTACACTCCCTTCCTGTTAAACCGTTTCACTGTCAATCTGCTTCAACAATTAGCAATGAGTGTACAGCACTTCCTGTACTTTCAGCAAACTAATACTGTGAGCTCGTAACATATTCTGGCGCTAGGGGGCGCTGTTGTGCACTATAACAAAAATCTAGTATAAGATCCATTCATTCCAGTCCTGCTGCGAAGCCTCCCTCCTTACTGTTACAGGAAAACGATGTTACAAACAAGAACACGGGTTACACTATATTTGTATATTAAAGAATATATGCCTATATATACACACACACATATATAAATGTATTAGTCTGACCTGGAGGGGGTCTTAAAATAAGACTTCCTTGACATTTTACAGCTGAATTATAGTGTTAGTGTCTTCATTCCTGTTTGACGTTATGATTTCCGAACATTGAATGGATTTTTTTGCCAAAGTCCCCTCTTCCTCCTCTGTCCCCCCCCCCCCCCCCCCCCCCCCCCTGTCCACACTGCAGAATAACTAACCTGTAAATACACTTCTTAGTCTATTGGCGTACATTAAGGGAGTGAAGTAATTATGTCGAATTTAAATGTGGAGAAAGATATTTATTTTAGTTCAGGATTTTCTCCACAGATGTAGTTTTTTTTCTTTTGGGTTTTGGTTGTAAGTTAATTTGCATGTTGATTTTTTTTCTCTCTCTCATTGTTTTGTTGCCTTTTTTGATTTTAGCAAATTGTGTCTTGTGTTTTCTCTTTTTGAGTCTGTGTATTTCTATCTTTTGGGATGCTTTTTGAAGAAAAGACATCCGCTCAAAAGCAGATCGAAGCTGTTCTCCAGGAAGGAACCAACCTGACGCAGTAATGTTTTATACACTGTACTGTTAACGGCCACAGATATGCTTTTTCTAACATTTTAACATTTATGATTAACAATACTTTGTACATCTTTATTGCAATAAATAAATCAAATGAAATCAGAACATTTGGAGTCTTCTTTTGTGTTACTGGATATTAAAGAGAGGTTACAATATGTTTGAAACTAAATACTCCATCTGCTCAAACTCAGCATCATCGTGAGTTTATTTTGCGTCTGTGGCGACCTCTAGTGGTCTGTTCTGATAATCTTTAGGACTAGAAGTACTCAGATCTTGTACTTGAGTAAAAGTAGAAGTACTCAGATCTTGAGTAAAAGTAGAAGTACTCGGATCTTGTACTTGAGTAAGAGTAGAAGTACTCAGATCTTGAGTAAAAGTAGAAGTACTCGGATCTTGAGTAAAAGTAGAAGTACTCAGATCTTGAGTAAAAGTAGAAGTACTCAGATCTTGTACTTGAGTAAAAGTAGAAGTACTCAGATCTTGTACTTGAGTAAAAGTAGAAGTACTCGGATCTTGTACTTGAGTAAAAGTAGAAGTATTCAGATCTTGTACTTGAGTAAAAGTAGAAGTACTCGGATCTTGTGCTTAAGTAAAAGTAGAAGTACTCAGATCTTGTGCTTAAGTAAAAGTAGAAGTACTCAGATCTTGTACTTGAGTAAAAGTAGAAGTACTCAGATCTTGTACTTGAGTAAAAGTAGAAGTACTCGGATCTTGTACTTGAGTAAAAGTAGAAGTATTCAGATCTTGTACTTGAGTAAAAGTAGAAGTACTCAGATCTTGTACTTGAGTAAAAGTAGAAGTATTCAGATCTTGTACTTGAGTAAATGTAGAAGTACTCGGATCTTGTACTTGAGTAAAAGTAGAAGTACTCAGATCTTGTACTTGAGTAAATGTAGAAGTACTCAGATCTTGTACTTGAGTAAAAGTAGAAGTACTCAGATCTTGTACTTGAGTAAAAGTAGAAGTACCAGAGTGTAGGAATACTCTGTTACAGTAAAAGTCCTGCATTCAAAATGTTACTCAAGTGAAAGTACAAAAGCATTATCATCAAAATATAGTTAAATTACCAAAAGCCAAAGTAGTCATTGTGCAGTTCTTCCTGTAGTTTATCAAACAGTACACGTAAAGAACTAATTAGATCCTTTACTAAAGTCAAAGTAGATATACTTTGGTCTGAATACACTCCGATACAAGCGAAAGTCCTGAATTAAAAACGTTAAGTATAGAAATCGATGAATGAAGTTAATGTATCAAAGGTAAAAGTATGATTGCATGAGTCCAACCATTAGCCAATAACCAACCAAGGTAACACCTGTCCATCTTATATTATTATTGTTGAAAAAGAGTTTAATAATGGGCCCTTAAATTATGTTAATTTGGAGACACTGTCGGGGTTGGTGGTCTTATTGAATTTATGGACGCCTCACGGAGCTGCCCTGGACCCCGCCAGTCTCACTGCAGCAGAGTGAAGCCACTGGATGTCAAACACTAGATGTTCCATAGGTGACGAGCTGCTGGGTGAAGCCTCTTGTGGTCACATCTTGTTTCACATGTTGGCTGCACTGAGAGTCGAAACTATGGCGGCTGCTCTCTGTTTGAATCAGATTTTCTGTCCCGATAAGCAGCAAAGCCAGATCCAAGCTGGAAGGCATCGCTTTAGAAACTATTGGGGACACTATGGGTGTCCATCTTGTCCCAGTTATCCCAGTCAGTATAGCCTGTAAAATGTCACCGTTAAAACATATGCTCCTTTAAAGGGGGCATTTAAAGGACATTTCAGGTATAAACGTGTATTTTGGGATTCTAATAGAACAGGGTTTCATGCTTCATTATTAAAAAAAACACATCTCTCTTCTCATATCATCTATTATTTGAACATACCTGTGTTTACAATCTGTCTAAAACACTTTGTTTCAGCACCTGTCTCTTTAAGACCCCCTTCTCAAATAGCTCAGTGTGCCCAAAAATGACGACGGTAGCTCCCAAGATCACATATTCTAATGAGCCTTGAATCAGAAGCGCAGATTTCTTTTGATTACCAAGAGGTTATGTGGTGAAGACAATGAGGATTTGTTTCTTTAACCCTTGTGTTGTGTTCGAAAGCTGTTACCGTTCATGGTGTTCGCGGGTACATTTTGACCCATGATTTATTTCAGTCCAAAACACACAAAAAATAAATGACTATCATCCAATATTGTTTTAACTACATCATAACTAACTTATTATGCATTCATAACCGTACAATCCTGTTGTAATTTAATGTTATGGCCCAAAACACTTTACACCACATATTGCACACGTGCATGTGTGAGTTCAGGTTCAAGTGTTAGTGCACATATTCTTTGAGAAAGGTGGAGTTCCCGTGGGGGGAGGGGGGCAGAGGGAGGGGAGACCAGGTGCATGTTGCGAAAAAGTATTGTTACAGTGGATGAAGGGGGTGGGGGAGGGGCGTCTAAAGTCAAAGATGAATCTTGATTGGGCCAAATTTGACCCCCGAGTGACCCACAACAATTCTGCTGGGTCTCCCCAGACCCCAACACCAAATTATACACTTTTTTTTTTTCAGAGACCTTCAGACTTGGCTAAAATTGTCAAAATCTGTTTTGTAGTGTTTATAAATCTGTTGTGGAGGATATCATGAAGCCTCGTTCAGATACAAAAAAAAACTAGAGCGTAGTTATTATATCATTTTAACTTGAAACGGGTCACGGGAGACCCCAACACAACATAAGGGTTAAGATCCTAAAGTGGACCTATCATGCTATATTTGAATAATATAGTGTAGGACCATACCTATATAAGGCATAATTATACTTTTTTTTTTTCAAAATACCAAACAGATCATGCATTTTAGCCATGCCTCATTTCGCTCAATTTGACAATTTCTAGCTCTGTTTTTGCAAGGGCTGATTCTGTGAGAACAGCACCATCTAGAGGCCTGGCATATGTACTACAGCGTCTCCAGCGCTTTGGAACGGCAATGGCCGTGGCTGTCTCCTCCTGATTGGTGGAGTTGGCCCAATAGCCGTAGCGCCACCGTCCTGACGTCAGGACAGTGTTCAAATCTGGATCAGTTTTTATCAGATCCGTTGCAGCCCCTTTTTTAGAGATTTGGGTATGGAGGAAAATAGAGAGGGTTGTGTTTTCTGACACTTGGTGAGTTCCCTGGAACACCGGGGACACATATTCATGTATAAAAGACGTACAAAAGTGCATTTTGCATGATAGGTCCCCTTTAAGTTTGCACCTTGATTCTGAGTCTCACCCAGGAGCATAATCTTTCTTATGCTACGTTTAGAGGAAAGAAAACACAGCTCTGGAGTTCATATCCTAAAGAAAGCATTGTGTCGTTCATAGAGAGGTCGTGTAGGTCCGTTTATCTCAGTATATAAACAGTCCTTATAAATATCCTCTTTAATCAGCCTTTCTTCTGCAGAACCAACACTGGCACTATGATAACGATGAGCACCGCACCGACACACAGGAGGAACACAGAGAGTATTTTGCAGAGTCTTTTTCTTTTGTGTTCGGCTTCCTTCTTCTTCAGTAACGAGTCGAACCCCGGTGTGTAGAGATCCTCCAGCCAGAAGTCCAGGTCTTTAGCCGTCTTCTCTTCCTCCTGGAGAGACCATCAAAAACCTCAAATGTTGGACAAGCCATCGGTCACATGACTCAAAAACAAACATGGATACCAGGATTGTTCTAGTTTGTGTACGAGTCAAAACAGTGTTCCTATAGTTGGGCTCGGCACATTTGACATTTGGGATATTATAATGATAGTATTTCAGCACTCACTGGTTCCTCAGACTTTTCATATTTTATTCCAAATAAATTCAGTCATTCTTTCACATCCTACTGGACAGAAACATGTCTGTGTATCTTCCACATCTCCTTTTCTGTTTTAACTAGAAACATTTGTCTTCCTGACTCTTTAAATACTAAATATGGCTCTACATGGAGCTCTAAGCTGTCTGTGCACATATCATTTTGTGTTAAAATAATTGTATTTATTGATGTACAAAGATAAAATAAATAGTATAATAACATTTGTTCAATTTTGTACTAGATTGACTAATTGACTAACTGATGGTAAATGTCACATTTGTTACTTAATTTGATCCATTAGTGATGCACTGATGAGGTGTTTTTTCCTAAATAAAGCTGTGTCCACCAATCCCTCCCCCTGAACAGCCATTCATCCCGCCATCCTCCACAGCCTCCGCTCCACGTTACCTTTAAATACCCCTCCAGGTTTCCGTGGATTGTTTGCGTGTCGAACTCCTTCACCGTCCAGGAGGGCTTGGTCTTCTTGTTGTCGTACTCTTCCACGGGTCTGATGTCCGTGTACAGAGGGTTCCTCTTGATGTTGGACTTCAGGGTGACGGGTGTGATGTGTTTCTCCAGGTATCTGGCATCAAACACCACAGGAGAGGCTTCTGGGGAGGGGGGGCGGCTCGGCCTGGGGTCCCTCTGTGGAGAGAAAGAGGCACCGAGGCTTTAAAGAGAATACACTGAGACACAAAAAGCCTCCATGATGACCATTATAACAAGAGATGGCAAAAGTAAACACATCCTTTACTCAAGTAGAAGTACAGATACTCGTGTTTAAAAATACTCTGGTAAAAGTAGAAGTACTGACTAAACTTCTTTACTCAAGTCAAAGTAAAGAGGGCTTTGAAATGTACTTCAGTAAAAAGTACCCATAACTAGCAGCTGTTTTAAAGAGTACCTGACCTCCCTTTATATTAATAGAACAATAATGTCATTGTTAGCTAATGAATGTTTCCATGCTGAACAACGGCAACATGACAACGTTTTCATTGGTCCCTCTTCTTTAGAGAAGACCAGGAAATGATGGATACACGGATCGTGTTCAAATCAATAGGCACGCAATGACTCTAAATAATAATGATCACGCCACCAAACACACATTCAAACTAAAGGAACCAGCCTGTTTGGAAAATGAGAGAAGTAGAAAGTACAGGTATTTGTGTTCAACATGTAAGAAGTAGAAAGTACAGGTATTTGGGTTCAACATGTAAGAAGTAGAAAGTACAGGTATTTGTGTTCAACATGTAAGAAGTAGAAAGTACAGGTATTTGGGTTCAACATGTAAGAAGTAGAAAGTACAGGTATTTGGGTTCAACATGTAAGAAGTAGAAAGTACAGGTATTTGGGTTCAACATGTAAGAAGTAGAAAGTACAGGTATTTGGGTTCAACATCTAAGAAGTAGAAAGTACAGGTATTTGGGTTCAACATGTAAGAAGTAGAAAGTACAGGTATTTGGGTTCAACATGTAAAAAGTAGAAAGTACAGGTATTTGTGTTCAAAATGTAAGAAGTAGAAAGTACAGGTATTTGTGTTCAAAATGTAAGAAGTAGAAAGTACAGGTATTTGTGTTCAAAATGTAAGAAGTAGAAAGTACAGGTATTTGTGTTCAAAATGTAAGAAGTAGAAAGTACAGGTATTTGTGTTCAACATGTAAGAAGTAGAAAGTACAGGTATTTGTGTTCAACATGTAAGAAGTCAAAGTCATCAGAAAAATAAGTAGTGGAGTAAAGTACTGATACCAGAAAAATGTACTTAAGTACAGTAATGTAGTATTTGTACTCCACTACTTCCCACCTCTGTTTAAATTGTGTTGTGTTCATGCTTTTATATTCTTATCTGCAGGTGCAAACATGCTTGACAACACCTGCGCAGCATTTAAAAAAACATCAAGGAAACATGCTCATAATGTAAGACAGTTTTATCTCACATTATGAGGGTGAAATGCATTTTCTTTTGTAAGATTTCCACTTTTAGAGCAATAAATTAAACTTTGACTCTTGCAAAATGACAGAAAATTCCGCCTTCGGCAGGCCCAACATCACAACGTTAACATCCCTTTTCAACCAATGACTGTATTCTGCATCAAACAACATCAGGCTGTACTCCTGATCTCGGGGTATAACAATAGACTGTATATATAAAGGGTGTAACGTGTTACACACACACAGCAGTGTCCTCCTATTTCAAGCCAGAAACTTACGAGGATGATCTCTGCCAAGACATCATTCCCTTTGATTAATTCATTTGATTAATGAATATGTTTGAGTGTATAATATTGCACATGTATGGGTTATTGCACAGGGAGGAAGACTAAGCGGTAATAGTGCAAAAGTGTGTGGTGTGTGAACACCAAGAGAACCTCACACTTTTTATACTCTACGTGCCACTGGATATTTGAACCATCAAGAGTCACACGTCATCTTTTAACACTCAGGAAACACACTGCAGTAAGACAGACGGGGTTTCCCACTATGAACGAAACAAATACATCAGTAGCAAAGCTCACAATTGTTGGGAAAATACTGAATGTCCTCTTCCAATATGAGAGTAACATGATAACAAAGGTATCCCAACTGTAGCTACCCTGTGTACATGACAGGATGTATGATTACCTAGAAGAGCATCAGGATACATGGATCCTGAGATTGAAGCTCAAGCCGGTGACGAGTGAGATGTTTCTAAGAAAGACTATACTCCTACCGTACAGAATCACATGCGTAGAGAGGGATGAACACACTGATGGTACCTTCTGAGAGTAGACTCTGTTGCTCCAGTGCCTCTGGCTGCTCAGCACCGCCCCGATCTGGAACATCCCGTGTGAGGCCGGCAGCATGCCCACGTCCAGCTGCAGGAACCTCTGAGGGTGGTTGGTGTTGGGCAGAGCGGAGAAGTCCATCTGGATCGCTCCGTCCTCACTGACTGAACTCCCTGGATGGATTCACACACTCACTACGACTGGCAGGCTGTGGAATAATTCATGAGGAGCAGCAGAGTCAGGAGCCTGTATCACTTGCAGGTGTGTGAAACCCAACCTGACCATTAAGAGTCAACCGTGACACAGATGGGGAGAGAGAGAGAGAGAGTAGGAGAGAAGAGAGAGAGAGAGAGATGAGAGAGGAGACTGAGAGAGAGAGAGATGAGAGAGATGAGAGAAGAGAGAGAGAGAGAGAGAGAGAGAGAGAGAGAGAGAGAGACAAGAGAGAGAGAGAGAGAGAGAGAGAGAGAGAGAGAGAGAGAGAGAGAGAGATTGTTTGTACCAGAGTTTACAAGTGCAGTAAAAAGAGCAATTCAATAACTACAGGAAACATAGACGGTCACATAGTTAATGTAAATATTAACAGTATTTAGTAGTTGCAACAACTGTTGGACCAATGGACTGCATTTTCATTTCATCTTTTTAGCAAGGCAAGTTGTATTTATGGAGCACCTTTGAACACAAGGCAATTCAAATTGTTTGCTCTTGGGGCATGAAAAACAAGATGTTAACTTCAGTTTATTTTTTATCTAGTTCTTTCAAATTTAGAAAAAAATGTTTGTAAATGTCCACTCAGGTGGACAGTATGCGTTAAAGTTTGAACTGAAGACATGTACATTTGGAAAAAATGATAAATAAAGATGTGCAAACTTAAAATTAAATTATAATAACATAAGTATATTGATTTAATCAATACTCTGACAATTTATGAATTATATGATTCCTTAGTTGTTACTTGATGTCACCAACATTGTTATACCGGCTGCAGGGGGCGCTTTCCATAAAAGGATTGGCAAGATATCGACGAGTGATTCGGTCCATCTGGCTTTCTGTCGTCCATCTTGGTTTAGAGAAATGTATCATGCACTTGCACTGACTTTCCACTGAGTGGCAGTGTATGGGATGATCCAATAGGGTCCTATGTAGTGGCTGATGTGCAACTATGCCATCAAAACCCATGCATATACAAGAAAACACCTTTTGAAAAGCTGTCCACTGTAGTGACCTCTATGCGTGAAAGGGTTAAGAACATTAAGAAATAGTGCAGCGGAAACACATTATAAAATGACATACAAACTAATATAGATATTATAAGTAGATTTACCGAGTACTGTACTTAAGTAAAATGTTGAGGTACTTGTACTTTACTTAGTATTTCCATGTTATGCTACTGTGTATTCTACTCCTCTACAGTTCAGAGGTAAATGGTGTACTTTTACTCCACTACATGTATTTAATACCTTTAGTTACTTTACAGATCTGGATGAATGATGTGAAATATAATCAAGTGTTAAATCAGACTTTAGTTCCACCTGGAGTAAATTCACAAGCTACCCTGCAGTATACAAAGTCATTCAAACTAGCTGCACCTTTACCAGCTTTGAGAACACTTTCATGATCAATCATTATAAAACATATCATATATATTATTCTGAAATGGACCAATCTGTACAATGACTACTTTTACTGTCGCTACATTCACTATATTTTGATGATAATACTTTTCTACTTTGACTTGAGTAACATTTTGAATGCAGGACTTTTACTGTAACAGAGTATTCCTACACTCTGGTACTTCTACTTTTACTCAAGATCTGAGTACTTCTACTTTTACTCAAGTACAAGATCTTCCTCCTACTTCTCCACCTCTGTAGATGTGTATTGTAAGATATTATTCATACAAAGCTTCTGCAATAGTAGTGCATGTCATATTATTCATGCCAATAAAGCTTTTTGAATTTGTATCCTAGAGAGTGGGGGAGAGAGGGAGAGAGAGAGGGAGATAGAGAGAGAGGGGGGTGTGGTTACGTAGAAGAGGATGCTGCACCGGGGTTGACATCCTCCAACAACGATGTGTGGCAGGAGAGGAGAGGATGAACCCGGACTCTGAGGCGGATATTGCGGTTTTACCTCTGCACATGCTCCATGTCGTCATCGGGAAACCACTATCAGTGCACACGGCTCCAGAGGACGGATGAGATGCGGTAAGACATGGCGGGGCTCTCCCTTTCTGCATCACCGTGTAACCTTCCTGGGTACGGCTACTAGCCTGCAGGGAAACACGGATCTGATCATGCATTTTCCTCCAATCAGTGCTCTCCATCTGTGCTCCTCGCAATGATCGTGCACATTGATGATGTGTGTATTCTGCATGTATGTTAGCATCGATAGCACACAGCAGACTGTTGTTAATGAGGGGCTTTCTACGCATGTCGATGTGTTTTGTGAATGCACGAGACTGGGTTTGTCCTGCAGTCATTTCCCTGCTGATGTTGGGCAGATGTGTTCTCGTGCTCCAACACTGACATCATCCTCAGCAGGAGTGTGTGTGGACTGTGGAGCAGGAGTGTGTGTGTGGAGCAGGATTCTCTCCGCACGGTTTGCTAGCTCAGCGCGTCAATGCGACGTTTGTCCGGACTTGATGCATTGCTCCTCCAGGACTCAAGTTCATCTGTTCCAGGGGGACAGGCCCTCAGCTCTGCGGGGTTTCAGTGAGACACACGGTGCTTCTGATGTTTAACACCGGAAGGAGAGCCTGGCCAGGTGTTGCAGATGTGCACAGAGGCCATGATGAGTGCAGATAGATCAAATAGAGATGACAGGATAAGTATTTTGGTACTTGTGGGTTATCTGTCGCCACTTTTTTAGTTTTTTTTCAGACTCTCTTAATACGCACTTTGGTAGGGTTATGGTTATGGTTATGGTTGGGATTGGAAAATAAAATGTAAAAGTGGCGACAGATAACCCACAAGTACCAGTATTTCTACTCTTAGAAGTACTTTGTACAGAACATGTATACACGCTTTAATGAGTTATCCCATTCATTGACTAATTATTTGTATTCCAATGCTGACCAATGATCATCAGGTAACAGCCCAATTGTTCATTTTATAGTGAAATAAAAGCACCCATCCCATGCTGAACCATGTGTGTGGTATATAAGTATTACTACAAAGTAATATAGCTTGGTACTTTTATCGATATGAGATGAGATTACAAGCAATTATTTGAGCATTATCTCTGTATTTTTCATTACATACAGTGAGAGCAGAGGGGCCTGCAGGGGAGAATTAGTGAAAGGAAAGGGAGGAAACTGCAGCAGACTCACAACTAAAACCAACGCCTGGCCCTGAACACATCACTCATTGAGACACTTCTGTTTCCCTAAGCTCATGTTTTATACATATATTTTGAGCAACACTTATCATGCATTGGTGGAACAGGAAGTTAAAAACCAGTCAAATCTGTCAGGAAGAAAACAGTTATTGTAGTTTTTGGGTGTTTCGAACACTGCATATCGTGCATGTTGGCTATTGAGCAGGTTCCTCGCATTATTGTAGTTTTTGGGTTTGCTCTTTGTGTTCTGAACATGGCATACGGGGAGCAAGCTACTTGCTAGTTGGCAAGCTTTAACAGAAACATTAGAGAAGCAAAATGAATTGTTCACTTCCTGTGCTCAACCCGCTTCGTGGGGCCTGTAGGCACAAGGAGCTAAATGCTAATATCAGCCTGCTAACATGCTCACAGTTTTAATGTATGGTATTGATATTTAGCAGATGCAGTACATGCTAACATTTGCCAATTTGCATTCGACGCAAAGTACAGTCCCTTGTTGTGCAGGTGTATGCATAAAACAAAATGAATTCCAATGAGAGTCAGAGGATCACTACGGATAAGTTATTACAGTTTATCCTGAGGGGAATAATAATCCATCCGATGGTTGTTTAGACATTTCAATCTAAACTAATGGAGGATCGACCAGCCAGCACTAATGTCCTGTGGCTAGGTGACAGAATATTAAAATGCTCCCAAAGTAGCAGCCGCCCATAATTCACTGATGTGAAAATAGATCAATCCAAATACATGTACGCTATTATCTTTGTGATCACATTTTTTGGGACGTTTACAGGAAACATTGAGTAGCCTGGGTATTTATATCTCTGCAGACTTCATTTAAAGCCTTTGAGGTGTGAGATCGGTCTGCCGTGCACAGATGTGTCTTTGAGGTCCAAAACACCTGCCATCCTCCCTTATTCCTCCTCTGAGGGGATCAGAGCTGTCTTCACACTGCTGCATCGAAACCCAGTCTGCAGGGTTCGGTTTCTCCGTATCATCAACCGTAATGGATAATGACAGCATGATGCAAATTCTCTATTTATGGCAGACTATATACATATCTCAGTATATCTTTTATCATCATATTGAATCTTTTAAAGTTGAAACGGCAGACATATTCCTGTTAATGCACATCTAGGCTTCTCAAAATCAGGATAAGGATGGGGCCCTGTAGCTTTAACGGGATATTTCTGCAGTTATTGTGGAGTGGAGAAATGATTGCAGCAATTAGTTGATGACAATTCGGCAGCCACATCACAGCGGCAGATTCTCGAGTAAAGCCATTAGCAAATGTACAGCATGTCAGAGTTTAACGTGCATGTGGAGATATCCTGATACGTGAAAATAGTGGGTAAATGTTAGACCAATAAAGCCACATTAACAGCTCTGTATCCTTACAAGTCATAGGATAATTCTGTGGCACAGGATTCATGTCCGATGCTACCACTCAGTGCTAATGGAGGAAATATGTAGCCCCCTTTTTTACATGTGGAAACCCAGAGTGGTGTCCTGTCACATTCTTGCCACAATCCATTGCTTCTTAAATAAACCATAACCACAATCTGCCTCTTACTTTAAGCGAGTGTTTCAGTAGCCTAACCTTACTTGTACCGTAACTATTAATGCAGATATTGTTTAAAACGTGGTAAGTGAACCGTTCAGTATCAGCGTTCTGCCTGGCATTAAGATTACATTAACCGTAGTCCGTTATAAAAGTAGAGAAAAAGGGTGGTGGACAGGATTCAGGAAAATAAGTGCTTCCAACTTTATTCATCTTTCATTCGATATTAAACAGTTCAACACAT